CTATCATTTGACACTAACTTTGAATTAAATCCATGATTAAAAATTTCAGTTAAATTTAATCTCTGGTTAAGTTCAAAGTTGGTGTTAAATGATAGTTTATCAAAATCTAAGATAGGAATGTGAAATCGGTTTTCCTCAAAAATTAACCAATTAGGTTTTACAGCCTGTCAAAGTTGCAAAAAGTCAATTTTCAACTGTCAATATTTCCAAAACAGTTGAACTTAGGTATAGGGTATATCACATGAAATCTGGTCAGAATTTTACGTAGAATCCAAATATGCAATTAAATACGGGGTGTTCCATTTAAAATAGTGATGTTGCCACTAGTTTAGAGTAGGAGCGGCAACACCGCATGGTCAAAAATATTTTTAAAGTTTAGATCATGGTCGTTTATCCCGGTTGCCAAATTTTCAAAATGATTCGCTTTTTAGTTCTCCGTAAACGTCTAATACGCCATCCACCGTGGGACACCCTGTATGTCATGCGGACTGAAAGCTCATTATTTTTTTCCTAGCAATTTTCAAAAGATGCACTTTTAATCCTTATAATATGATAGGTATACTATTTTTTAATCACGTTTTAATGAATTTTATTTCCGAATCATTTGCGCCATAAAGTTTTCGCGCCAAAACGTACCTGCGCCAATTAGGCTTCGCGCCCGGAAGGGTCTGCGCCACAACGGACCCGCGCCAGAAGGGCCGCGCCAGAACGGTCGCGCCAGATCGGTCGCGCCAGAACGGACGATTTCGTAATTTACCACCTAGTGCTACCAGAAACTCTACCTATGAATGAAAGTTTAAAGAATGGGCTCTTTCAGTAAAATTTAAATACGTAATTTAAGCATAAAATCCCGAAGAAGGGACTATTTTAGGCATATATACCAAAAAAAATGTTCTACAAGGTTCAATAAGTTTTTCACAGGCACATGAATCTGACGAAATTCAAATTAATTTTAAACGCGCCGATTTGCCGACGTCACATAAATATTCTTCATTTCGCTTATGTTGTTGCAAGGAGGACCGGCTCGGCTGTGTTTGCGCTCTGTGAAGATACGTAAAGGTTGGAATGCGCTGTTGTCGGCTGTGACTAAATGTAGTGCAGCGTAAAATAAATAAATAAAACTTAACATAAAAAATTGTATTAAATTGTGTTTAAGCATAATTTAAAAAAAATGTTATAAAATCTTGAATCTATAACTAATTAATTTAACTACTTTTCATGAGATTTTGCCAACATTTCAGAATTAAATCTATTACAAATTTTCAATGTTGACAATTAGTGGCAACACGGTCAAATTGCGAGCTGCGACGTCATAGAAATAAATTCTGGGTTTTTATTTGGAGGTATTTCTTTGTTTTCTGTTTTCTCAAGGACTTTGAATTTTTCAAAAGTAAAAATACAGAAAATTCTGGTTTTAGTTGCTTTATCCAAATATGCCAATTTCAAAAATTAGTGAAAGAGCCCATTACAATAATTTGCCAGATGAGTGGAAAAAAGCTCTTCATAATCGCAAGTGTTTTGTAAAATGCGTAAAGTCCGTTTTGAACTTACAGGTCTACAACCTATAGTTCAGAAGAGTTTTATAGAGCTGTTCAATTGTTTTGCTGAATTTTATTTGTATGTATGAATACCTAGTTGTGTATACATATACCTACTCTCTAAATTTTAAAAAAAAGTTGGTTTTCTTGTCTGAGGCTCAGTTCATTCATCTTCAGATAAACTTGCTGGTAGGGTTGCCAGATACTTGAGTTTTGAAAATAGGAGAGGCTGTATAAAATTATATGAGATTGGATAATAATATATGAGAATATTTTATGTGCTGCAAAATACCCAAATCCGAAAAAGCTCACATCTTGACAATTGTCAATTAGCTATGATTTTTATAGATTTGGGAATGTATTCCTGGACATTCTTTTATGTAGTTGAATATTCTTCTTGATCCGTCAGCCTCATTTCTTGTAACAAGTTGTGGACAACAACTTGAATTTTTTGATTTTTAAACAAATCCCTGACCCAAAATTGTTATGTTTTTTTTTTCTGTTCTTACTTCCATTTTTATTTATTATCTACAAAAGCGAAAAAGTCGGAAAAAAGTTGAAAATATTGGGATAAAAGTGGCGGGAATTTTTTCAGCCAATTAGGCAATCCAACGACCTTTCCAAATGGCGCCTCGTTGGCAAACAATAAACAAAAAACATATATATATTTTTTTTTTTTGTGGCGGGTTTATCAATATTGTTAGTCGATTTTTATCGATTTTGAAGTACATGGAAAAAACAGGTGTGACGTCAGGTGACCATTGGCATTTTAATGTAGGGTTCCACTAGCTAACATTTTTTTCGAGTATCAGATTAGAATCGACGAACTTTACACGGGGCGAGTTCTCAAATCTGACACTGTTCTGACATCGTTGACATGTAACAACCCGTATTCTAACCTCGTAAAAATTTCAAAATGCCGGCTGGTTGGCAAGGTTTGGATTCCCTAATAGGGCATGTCCAGGTGACGTCACAAATGAGTTTGACAATCGCCCTGAGGTAAATCAAATCATTTATTTAATTGGTGTAGATTAGGCCGGTTATGTTTTATGCGGTTTTCACAGCTTTTTTGCAAATTTTTGTGTTATTTTGTTTTGTTTTAAAAAAGTTAAAGTAAAGTGTTTATGTTCCAGTCTATGTGGTCTTTTATCCAGAAACTTGCTAGGTTTTTCTATAATGGATTAAATTCAGGGTTTTTCCAACAAAAATCAAAACCAAGTGTCACAAGAACAAATATATAAGTATAGTTACTCATAATTCAATCTATTTTTCTGTCAGATCTTCTCTTTTAACAACATTAATCAATATTTCTCTTCTTTCTTGAGCTAACAAATCAAACATCCCATTGTTATTTAAAATTCATGAAAACCTATGGAAGGATATTGTATCCCTTACCCTATACTGCCAGAATTAACAACTAAACAAACTCTATAGGCATGTCCAAGAAACTTCTGGACCACACAAAAGGTATTTAATTTAAAAAATCTAACTAAAAACCTAAAAAACCACTGTAAATATATCTTTGTTTTACCTCAAGGCGACTGTCAATAGTGTCAAACTGTCAGATCGTGTACTTGCCCTATAGGAGCTCCCTTGTACCATCGGACGGTTGGATAACGGATGCATGAGACTCAGGCCTATCAAGCGTATGGTATGGTAGTGATGATATACATGGTTTCTTTTCTTTTTTTTTGATAAAAATATATGAGAAATAGTCTCATATTAAGCATGCTTATATGAGATATGAGAAACAGTTAAAATATATGAGTCTCATATTGAAAATAGGAGGTCTGGCAACCCTACTTGCTGGTAACTATCTGCAAGATTAATTTATCGTTCTCAATTCCATTGGTCGGTGGATAACTGGCCGACCAATGGAATAACAGATTGCATGTTTATCCTTCAGATTGCTTATCTAAAAGTTTATCAGAAAGTGAATAAACCGACCCTTAGTGTAATTTTTGTATTTTATCTTTAATTTCAACTATGGACATAATAATATTAAGGCGTTTTCACGCGTCTCATATTTTTCAAAACATTTTTCAAAACTGTTTTAAGTAATGTCACCATGACGTGATAATTTGTCGGCGCGAGAAAATGGTTTGAAAACGTGGATTGGATTGTATTTCGAAACTGTTTGAACCCGAGGTTTGAACCTCTTTTGACGTGACGTCATGGTTTTATCGCGAGAATGTACCTACTGTTTCAAAACAGTTTTGAACCAGTTTCAAAACAGTGGACACGAGAAAACGCCTTTAGTATTTTTAAACAATTGACAAGCCCTAAGTTCTGTATGTATAATTTATTTTGTTTTACTGAGAATAGGATCGGTTCACTGTATATTTTTAAAGTCTTGTCAATGAGTTTTTTTCTTTGAACAATAAATAATTTTCTGGCTGATCCTGATCTCCAGGACAGACTGAGACTGGTTGACGAACTCGACAGAAGTTAGAAAGTACACTATATCTGAACAGAAGAAAAACGAAGATGAGGCCCAGCAGCAGAAAATTTTGCAAGAGAAGACAGACAGCCAGACAGAAATAAGAAAAATACAGACGACAAAAAGGAAAACAAGAAGAACAAGAGCGGCTCTAGAACACTTTGCAAGATAAAGAAGACAGACGACAAAATAGGTCTGTTCTTACAGGAGCCTCTGACTGTTTGTAACCTATCAGGAACAATCGCTCAGCTAAGCTACCGATTTATCTTGGAACGACGGCATTGAAAACATGTATGGGCGCTGCTCACCGACAGTTTGCAAACTGTCGGAGACTGTTGTGAGAACACACCTAATATTGGACAAGAACACAAAAACCGAGACAAATGCTGACGAAGACGTTGAGGAAAAAAAATGCTGACAAGGAATTGGAAACGTTCCAAATTCCAGACATTTCAGTTTTGGTCAACTGTGACAGGGGCACCTGTTTCAATGGGGTTCGTTGTGCCAGCCAGATCACGTTCTCACTCGTAAATGGGAGAATTGTGCCACGATTCACGGTAGATAGACGAAATGAATATTATTCAATACTGCGAATGATTTAGAATGAGTTTCCCATAAAAATTCGAAAAAATACAGTACCTAGATACCTAAGCCAGAAAAGAATTCCTGATTTGATTGTGATGATGGTTGTTTGCTGCACGGTGCAAAATAATTAATCAAGAGCGACAAAAATTATTCACAGTTCACGTATATAAAGGCCCATTAATTAAAGATTGAATAAGAGAAGTGGGTTTTCCAAAAATAATATAAAACTACCGAATTAATATTAAACTTTGGAACCATTAATCGTCGTTATTAACAACAAAGTAAGAAGGAACAGAAATCATAATGCGTTTATTGACACTAACCAAAAAAAAATGATTAAGAGTTTTGGAATAAAACTGGAATCATAAAAAAAGCAAATTTATATGAATAAAATCAAAATAGTCACACAATAATAATGAATAAAACATTCAACTTACGTAATTGGGTTTTTCCAAGAACCAACGCACTTAAAAGTATATTTAAAGAAACTACCTTAATGACTCTCATCATTGAAGGTAAACTATTATGAATATTATTATGAATTAAATGATAGTTAACTATAAAAAAAACTGATTTAACTATTAAGGTCACTAGTTGACTACAGAGCTAATTATTAATATAAACCATTTCAATTATTTAATAATAATTGAAAGTGTACCCTGATCCTGAGTCGGCAATATTTGATTGTTATTGGTGATTGTTTTATAAATATTCAAACAATTTGTTGCTGTTAATCAATCTATTAGGATTCTGTGAATAAAAATAATTTAGTTTTTTTCGGAACATTTCTCGATTTAAAAGAATAAATCATGAAAACTTTATCATTGTTGAGCCTTCATAACTATAAAAAAACGTGTGATGTATCCAATTTATTAAAAATATCCCAAGAAATTATTTTTTTTCTGTTGCAAAAGTGACCTTCTGTTGATTTATTTATTATTATTATTATTATTTATCGCTTAGTACATGCCTTATTACCTATGTACGTAAATTCACGATGAGTTATTAACTAATAAGTTACTTATTTTATTCGTGAATAGGAAGGTGACAATTATTATTATGCTTTTCACCTAACTATAAGGTATATATTAAAAATATAAGTTTAGAGTCTACGTAATTCCTAACACAGGATGGAACAAAAAATACGTGTCGATAAAAAACAAGGTTTTTGAAAAGGGATCATCCTGCGCCTATATTTTGGGTTTTCAAACTCTGTGTTGAATGCTCTATTTGATGCCACAATTTAATTTTTATGTGTTGACCATGCGTTTTCAACTTCTCTTTAGAAACCAGGAAATGTTGAAAATAGATACAAGGTTGGACAAAGTTGGCTATAATTCTTTGAAAAAACCGCGAAAAGAGATAGGATTAGGATTATAGGATATACCATACCATACCATTTGACACAGTAGACCATGTGATACAGAAATTGAAGAGCATCGGAGTGAGCAGCAGTTCGATACATCTACTCTAAAACTATTTATCTAATAGAACACAAGTAGTGAAGATGGATAGTGTCATTAGCACTAGAACAACAATAACATGTGGTGTACCCCAAGGGACTGTCCTTGGTCCGATGCTGTTCAACATTTATGTTCATGACCTTTTGCGAGGAAGATATAAGTGGAGAAATTGATAGTTACTGTGATGATACGGTTATAAGACTTGAAGAAGACAATTGGAATGAAGTTGAATACCGAGCTGAAAGGGCCCTTGAAAACATATTTCACTACTTTCAAAAACTGCATCTCACTGTCAACCATATTCCATAATAAAACCAATCTTATAGCATTTTCATCCTACGCATCCAATTAACCAAAATTTTAATATATTACAATTTTTGACAAAAATCTATGTACTTGCCAGGCAATACATATACAAAAAACTGTCAAAATAAAATATCTAGGAGTATTTATCGACTGCCATTCAAGATGGGATGTACACACTAACTATGTTACTAGTAAAGTTCGATCCTTGCTACACAAAATTAAGTATCTAAAAAAATACTTCAAATTACCCTAATTAGAAATAATATATTCGTCTTTAATAGAACCACATCTTACTTACGGTATTAATGCCTGAGGAGGGGTACTAAACAATTATTATCTATTGTGTCTAGAAAAAATTCAAAAGCGTTGTCCAAAAGCTATCTATATATGTCCCACCGAGTCCTTGTATGAGGAAACTAAGTTTTTTTGACTTAAGAAAGCTCTTCTGTATTCATGTAATAACTAGACAACATAAAAACCAAACTACTTTGGAAAGGCTTGAACATAGATATAATACAAGAAGGAACAACGTTATATTCAGGATACCAAAAACGGATAAAACTCGAACACAAAGAAGTTACTATTTTTTAGCGTCAAAAATATATAGCTTTTTACCACAAAATATTAGAAACATACATAAAAACTAAAACTTGGCTAACCATGATTCCTAGACTGACAGTTCATAGTTGGATAGATCTGAGAAACACCTATTATATATAACTGATTTTATAATCAGCTAAAAAAAAATACAGTGTGGTTATTTAAGTGTGCAAAATATGTGTTTTTTTCAGTAATACCACAACCAAAATACAAACAAGGCCAAAAGTTGGTGCATGTCTGATAATCATATTAAAGTTCATTTCACGAAACGAGAGAGGTAAGTCCAATTTTATTGGCCAGAAAATGATTATACTCCGCCCTAGGCAGGACCGTCTTAGGTTATTTTGTCTCTTTTCTAAATATATTTCCGAACGAATTCTTCAGCGGAATCTGTTGAACTTGATATTGTTTTAATCTAAATTGCGCACTAATTACCAATAATTTACCAAACACTATTTAAATAATTGTAAAATACTAGAAAATACGATATTAAACTTATTGACTCATATGACAACCTGACAATAATAAATGTCATTAGTTGTAATTCATATTTTTGCAGTCCTTCTCTGAAGTTTTAAACTCCGCCTGTTTGTTTACCTCTACTATCTCGTTTCGTGGAATGAACTTTAGGTGCACTTAGAATGATATATCCTGTTCACAATCCGATGTCCACAGGTACAGGTAAATTTATCACCTTTCCCTATAAAATAGCATTGAAAGGTGATAAATTTTACCTGTACCTGTGGACATCGGATTGTGAACGGAGTCAAACAGCATACAGGGTAGCTCAAAAAATAAATAATATAACAAATATTTACTAAAATAAAATAAAACTTTTGCACTTAAAGGACAGTTTTTTTAATTTGCATATTATCATTAATAATGTTTTAACTTGTTGAAATAAAAAATTGCGACACTTGAAAGTTCTGTTGAATATCATTGCAACAAACATGAACTTCGTGATTCCAAAAAAAATTAAAAATCTAAGGTAATCTTACAAATATGCTTGAATTTGAACAAAGTTATGAAAAATTTATTTGATTTTAATTAATTTTTGAAAGTATTAAGGGCGGAAATAAAAAATAAAAAAAATAGACATTATTAAAGTTTTTCGAAAAGAAAAAAAATAAAAAAAAATCTTAGGAGGCAATGCTTTCGTATTTAGGCATAACTTTTAATTCCAAACAACTTTTCTCAATAACATTTTGCTGAATTTTCTAAAATAAGGGTACTTTACAGTACACTTTTGATATTGTTTGAGCTCCCCTGTATGTTGTTTGACTTGCAACCATTCTAAGTGCACCTATTATAATTATCAGAAATGAACCAACTTTTGGCCCTGTTTGTATTTGGGTTCTGCTATTACTAAAAAAAATCCCCATATGTTGCACACTTAATTAACCATACTGTATATGTATATACCAAAGAAATAATAATAAAAAATAAAAAATGAGTACTTACCCTATGTCAAACAACTAAGAAAAAAAAAAAAACAAATAAATAGACAAATTACGCGTAACACTCAACTAATAAAAAAAAAACTGATTTTGACTAATAACCCGAATGCGACACCCTTAAAATAATCTTGACTGCTACCCCTTATAATGACAATATAAAAAAAAAGACTTAACAAACTAAGCGTTATACCGTTATATAGCTATTTTTTCACCTGTTATTCTTTTAGATTAGTTAACTTTAATTTTTAAGTAAAATCATAACTTAGGTTTTCATATCATTTAAATTTTTTAATATTGAAGCTTAAATAATTTTTGCAGGTAATGCTTAGGGCGGGTATTATAAAACTACTCTCAGAGTTAACTTAAAGTTAACTTCTGGAATTACATGTAATTCAAAAAGTTAACTTCAAGTTAACTGTCAAAGCAGTTTTATAATACCCGCCCTTAGAAATCTTATTATTTTTAATTTTTTTTTGTAATATTTTAGTTTTTGGGAGACTTAACTTAATATTAGTAATAAATAGTTATTTTTGTATCAAGGGCGCGAAATGCTACTTTGCACCAAAGTATTTCGCGCCCGAGTTGCAAACAATATTTTTTCTACAACTCCATTTAAATATCAATCATTCGAAGCCAAAATTGCATTTTCAATCAAAGGTTGGTGAATTTTAATTATTTTTGATTTCCTGACAGGTATGTGTCACCATGACACCCAGTGTGCGAACTAGCTATTTCGCGCACACGTGCGCGAAATAGCTAGTTCGCGCACGGCGTCATGGGATCGTTAGAAAATCAATACCTGGGAAAAAAAGTGCCACTTCGCAAACTGTCATGAGTGTGCGAACATCATCATTTTTTGACAGTTGTAGAAAAAAAATATTTTCAAGTAATACTTAAATATTAAGACTTTCGCCCAAGGAAAAATAAATAATATTGTTTAAGCAAACAAGCCCCCGAGGCTTTAAAATGACCTTAGAATATTTATTTGCAACTAAAGGCGTTTTAGATTTAGGATTCCATTTATAGTATTAGAGAACTGCAAATAAATATCATATAGGTATCAAATATCAAAAAATTATCTTCAAATAAAACATTTCGTATTATTCAAACATTATTTTGAAGAGTCTGTCATCCTGTTTCACTTTCATCTGTAGGGGCTATAGGTACCTACATTCAGTTACTTTTGGCGGTATTTTAATGATGACCCACACTGTCTTTCTGGCCTATATGTGTTCGACTTATCCACCTCCCGTAGGTATACTTTATACTCTTTACCGTTTTTTATATTCTTCATATCTATGTATTTCTATTTTTTATTTGTTTGTACTACTGTCCACTGTCCTAACTTACAGCTTAATTTCTAATGTCTATGATTTACTTATGATTAGAAGTTATACTCTGTATTTCGTTTTATTAGGTTAGGTACTATTATGTTCTGGTTGAGACAGGAAGCTGGTGCTTCAACCCGCCATTTGTGATTCCTAACCTTTTGCTAATTGTTTTATGACTATAACTTGTGAATTGCAATAAAGCCATTTATTATTATATTATTATTAAACTATTATTGCACTACTGGAATTTCCGTAGTTGATTGATTGATCAGGTTGAAATTAAACATTAAACTTGTTTTCTTGAAATCAAGTTAAAGGCGCTCCTAACGGAATCGTCACTTGAATTCAGACGCACTTCCAGAAGTTCCAGAGTAGCAACACGCATGAAAACAAATTCAAACAATCTGAAATTCTGAAATTCTTCCTTTGTTGGTGATATTGTATATAGTTCTGCACGAATCCTCCGTGTAGGCTTCATGCGTTTTCTCATCATATGTTCCTCATTGCAGCTTGCTGAAATGACTGGAAATCATAGATTTCCGTCCATTGACGGATCTTACGAGGCCAGGGCAGTCTCTTTGCTTCTAGTCCTCGCTTTACATCGTTCTTCACTAGGAAATTTTTCTTTGCTTACTAAACCTAGGATTGTTCCCCATATTTTATTCATTCGAAGTACATCCTCATTTTTTATAAGAAGGTGCCAACAAAATTCTCCTCTTAGTTGACCAAGACCGAATCGTCTACCACAAAAGCCACTCCACCACAGAATTCTATGCCTCGAGATCTCCCAAGACCGTATTTATTTATTTCGTTTCGATTTTTTTAGTTTCGGGGCCTCTTCACCTACTTAAAAAAATCGATATGTTTCTTCAGGTTTATTCGTTCTAGAAGCGTACATTCGAAAAGTTATTAATGTCAGTTAACCTATCTAAAAAGTTACAGAAGAATAACTCTTTCAGAGATTGGCAGACTGATTTTTATGACAGATTTTTGTAAGTACTGCCAACACCATATCGATGACGAGAGACATTTTTCTACCATATTGTCACAAAAATGCATCGACATCGCTGCGCTGGGATTCCAAGAAATTAAATTAGTTACTTCTTTTTGCCGGGCAGCGCGCTTTTTTCTGCAATTCTATTACATTCAGTTCGATATTTTTCTAGCTAAATCCCGAATGCGATTTCGACAATATGAATGAACCCGGAATCCATAATTTGGTGTCAGAAATAGGACTTCAAAGGGTGAAGGCTGCAGAACATCAAAAGAAACAACGGAAATAAATCATCCAGTTACATTCTAAGACAATTCAGAGCATCTTGGCAACATCTTCCCATTCTTCCCTCTACAGAACTGAAAAAGGCTCAAAAGTTCCTGTGTGAGAACAAGGATATCTTTGAGGGTAAAAATGATGAAACTGGTAAGACGAAACATCATCGAGCATGAAATGAAAACTGGCAGTGCTCATACGATCCGTCAACCACCCAGAAGACTACCCACGGCCAAACAACAAGAAGTGGAGTCATAAGTAGACAGTATGCTTGCTGAGGGAGTTTTTGAAGAGCCTTCAATTCCGTGGTTATCGCCAATTGTACAACGAACAAAGAAAGATAGATCTACCAGATTTTGCGTTGATTACAGAAAGCTTCAGGATGTAACTAAGAAAGACAGCTACCCATTACCTAGAATTGACGATACCCTTACGACATTGACAGACTCAAATTGGTTTTCTACTTTGGACTTAAAAAGCGGATTCTGGCAGGTGGGCATTGACAAAAAAGACAAAGAGAAGACAGCGTTCTCCACTGCAAGCAGTCTTTACCAATTCAAGGTGCCTTTTGGACTCTGTAGCGTACCCGCTACTTTTCACAGGTTGATGGAAATCGTATTACGAGCACCCTCCGATTAAATGACAAGAAATGTTCAACCTTTCATCACCGCGTTGATTTTTTGGCCACGTAGTTTCACCCGAAGGAATTCATACAGACGAGAGAAAAATCCAAGCAATTCGTGAATGGCCTCGTCCTCGGGATAAACATGAACTCAAAAGTTTTCTTAGGCTCTGTAATACAGAGTCTGTGATTCTGTATATACGATTTGTAGAAGAATTTGTTAAGGTAGCAGCGCCGTTGCATAAACACTAACTGAAGAAAGAACTTTTCACAAAAAAAAAAAATACCTAAGAAGTAGACACCCTGTAGTTCGAGTAGCAAATTCCGCGAACCATCGCTATAATTTTTCAGTCTAATCTTGATATACTTGACCTCAAAAACTCGAACCAAGTTCTCCCGGATGACTTCATTCTTTTTGAAATGAAAAAGTATACCATTAATCACCACAAAAGGACCAGAAAAAGTTCAGTGTTGTCACAGCACCTTGGTAACCATCATCGCACGTGGACTGATGTATATTAATTAGGGAAACAACCATAATTAATTTTCGTTAATTATTTTTTGTTGTTTTGTACAGTTGCTTCGCGAATCGGACCTATATAGCTTTGGGCAACCTTCTTGGTTTAGTTAGTCGATTTTTTTGAAATGTGGTGCGTTATTTTGGGTATCGTCTTAATTTTATTTGGGTGCGGGGATGCAAAAGAATTACGTAAGTACCTATCAAAAATAACTTTTTTTTTTTCAAATTAGTATTTACTTATAAATATAAATAAACATGAAAATCTGGTAAACCATACAAATTTAGTAAAAAAAAATAAAATAAATAAAAATTAATAACAGTGATGAAACTAAAAATCTTTGGAAGTAGGTATAAGAATAATTCACACTAAATGTGTAAAAACGAACCAATCCCAATGAAAATCGTCAGGCTTTCATTCCTGCTAGTAAATGATTCTTAATATGAAAGGTATAGATAATTTTAAAATAGGTACATGATAATTATTTTTGTAGCTTCCTATCTAAAACTTTGCCAAAGGAGAGATCCGCAGCTCCATCAATGTATAATGGATAACGTCCAAATCCTAAAGCCAAAAATGAAACCTGGAATTCCGGAGCTTTATATACCACCTCTGAACCCTTTAGTCATACCAGAAGCTACATTAAATAGTGGATCTAGCTTTAGGGCTACTTTTAAAGATATACAGGTAAACGTGGCACTTTAATATTTTATTATAGTAACACTCCAACTTCCTAGAAAGGATATGCTCGTCCTGGTTTAGATTGTTCATATATAGGTAGATTATATATTATAAAGTGAGGAACTCTGTTAAACTCTTTTTTTGATTACATAGTCCAGAGGGTTGGATTTGTAGGTAGGTACTGTTCTCCCATTTTTCGTGTATTGGACAACACTATTGCCTTCCTCAGATAGATAATATATCAGATTTGGAATTGGAATGGACAGGTCCAGGCGCAAATATCATTATTGCCTTATAAACATAGTGATATTTTTTTTTTAAGGGGTTTGTGGAACTATTTCAACCAAGCTCATCGCTGACTTTTACTTTGTTTACCTATAGTTTTTATCGCTTTTTTTTTTAAATATTACAGTGTGAGTTTACAATTATTGCAGTAGGTGCCCCACTGCAGATGTTTTATCTGCAACTGCCATGTAATGAATGACTTTATATGGGTTGCTTTGAACGTAATATTATTTTTAGGGCAATTCAAGTGGCTATATCTCTACCCCAAACTTGTCAAATCAGTGATTCGAAATATTATTGCGCTATTCAATAGTATATCACATACCGAGGGGGAAAGTGTTTCATTACTACCGAGAGATTTTAGTTAGACCGAGGCGCGGCCCACGGGAGGAAAGTAAACTTTCAACCCGTGGGTTGAAAGCAAACGTCAAAAAATACAATAAATTTTTAAAATTTCATTATTTTATTTTCGGCCCACGGGAGCATAGTAAACTTTCAACCCGTGGGTGGAAAGTAAAAGTCAAAAAAGTGACATTTTCAAACTTTTTAAAAGCAGAAAAGTCAACATTACATGTATGATTGTAAATAAACAATTTAACTGCCGAGAAGAAAATAGTATTCATTGCGCCTCGCCTCAATTAGCATTTTGTAACCAGTGCTTTTCTATTTTTAGTTGTATAATGCTCATGAATTCAATTTGCAATCTTTCGATGTCGATTTGGACAAGTATCACATCGACTTGAAAATATTGTTTCCTTTGCTCAGAATCAAATCACTCTACAGTTTCAATGGAAGACTTTTGATTTTGAATTTGAACGGAAAAGGACCAGCTGATGGAAATTATAGTAAGTGAAAAATAATTTGCCGATGACCTTAGAAACTTGTTTAAAATGACTGAAGATGCATAAGATTGATAATAATTAACCTTAATGTGCTTGTATAACATTATTTTAACATTAATTCTATTGCTTTTCACAAGACGAACTTGGGCTAATTTATGTCGACGACCTTTGAAAACTTATTCAGTTTTTTAAATATAAATACAGAGTGTAAAAGCATTTTAAAATAATAATTATATTTTTTTTTGCTTCCAGCAAATGTACAAGTTGGACTCAGTTTAAATGGTAAAGTTTTCAAAAAGAACAACAAAGAATACGTCAGTTGGGAAAAAGAGAAAATTGACATTAACATTGAAAAAATAAATTTACTTTTCGAGAGACTTTTTGGTGACAATACAGAACTGAATGATCAAACAAATAAAGTGATCAACAATAATATCGACGGAATTGTTGAAGAGCTACAACCTGTCATACAGGAAGTTGTCAGTGGTTTTGTTTTTAGTTTAGTGAATCGATTATTTTCAAGATTTTCTTTGAATGAACTTTTCCCGCCAAAATAGTTTTATTAATCTAAAAAATATGCTATTTTGTTTGATAATTAATTAGAGGAAGAGACAATTAGCCATATGTATTTGTGATTGAGAACTTCTTGTAAAGAAGTTGTTTTTTTTTTTAAATAAATTGAAAATCGCTGAATACAATGATCGGTGTTTTAATTCATTATTCATAAATCCGACTGATGATATTCTTATAAATTGGTCACCATCTTTTGGTGCTGAATAAAGGTCACACGGCTTTTTATAGTAAAACCTGCATCACTTTACTGCGAAGACGTGAAACGATCATATAAAATGTTCCATAGAATGTTTCCATGTTTTTTCTAGGCAGCTTACCAACTCAATCTAACCTAAGAAGGAATTTAAAATGATTTAAAGAAATCCCATAAGCTTTACATTTATTCAATATTTACGTACCGTCATTTGGGGTCGTACGATTTTTGCAGTTTTTTGTTAATAAAATCTACAATTAAAAAAAAAAATCCAAAAAAATAATAAAGAATCTTCCATGTCTCCTTTGTCAAATTACATACTAAAAGTAATGACATTTGTAACCCCCTTTTTTTTAGGTAAGTTGTGTGTCCCGGTCGCATGGAGGTAGATTGTAGATTGTAGATTTCGGGGGAGTCGTTTCGGCTTTTCAGCCGCTCAGCACTGCTACCTTTGCAGATATTTTGTGCGTGACTCTACATCTTAATTTGTCTCCAGGAAGCGTAGACTTCTGCCGAAGGAAGCTATTTTCCTGGGTGTCAGTTGGCCCACTTCTTCTGGTGACAGTGTTGCCCCCTCGAGGAATTTGAGCCTCTTGCAGAATTGGGCTGGACATTCGCAGAGCAGGTGCTCTGCGGTTTCTGCTCTGCGGTTTCTATTGCGTCTGAGCAGAATCTGCAGAGATCGTCTTCCGCTCTGCTCATTAACCTTAAATGGTATTTTACTGGGCAGTGTCCTGTGAGCAGTCCCACCACCAATCTGATGTCTGGTCTGCTCATGCTTAGGAGCTGTTCAGCTCTTTTTGCTGAAAGGGTAATAAACCTTTTTGACTGTCTGAGTCCCGGTGTGTGCCTCCAATATGATGACAGTTGGTCTTTCTCCCATTTGTTGAGTTCTTCCATGATGTGGCTTTTCATTAAGCCACAGTAGGGCTCTGGTCCATGGAATGGTGTTGAGGCCCCTTTCTTTGCGAGGCCATCTGCCTCTTCGTTTCCTTCTATGCCTCGATGACCAGGCAGCCACATCAGCGTTACCTGGTTATGTGTCGCTAGTGTTTTTAGGGTCTGTTTACACTCCCAGACTAGTTTTGACGTGCATTTGAAAGCCCTTAAGGCTTTTAAGGCAGCTTGGCTGTCCGATAGTATGAAGATGTGTTTTCTTTTGAGGCTTTGGTTAAGACACTCTTGTGCACATATATCTATGGCAAGCAGTTCGGCTTGAAATATTGTAAGATGTTTCCCAATGCCCTGGAGAGCTTGAAGTTAGGGCCGGAAATGCCCAGTCCAGCTCCTTCCATTAGCTTGGATCCATCTGTGTACCACAGAGATGCATTGTCTGTTTGTGGTAGTTCTTTATTCTCCCATGATTGGCGGTCGTTTATTACCACTGCGAAGGGGATCTCTAAGTCCAATCTGACCATCATGTGGTCACTTGGTTTGCTGGCATTCTCCAGTTTTATTAGATCAAGGATTTTCAGATGTCCCCTCAGATCGCCAGGCTTGAACTTGTCTATTTGGAATAGCCTGTGAGCGCTGGTTATTGCCTCTTTTTTCACACATAGGTGAAGTGGGGGCATGTTGAGTAGCGTCTCTAGGGCTGCGGTGGGGCAAGTTGACATTGCTCCCGTTATTCCTAGACATATCAGCCTTTGCACCTTTCTTAGCTTAATCTGAGCGGTGACTTGTTGGGTTTTGGGCCACCACACCAATGGCACAGATTACTCACATACAGATGCGAAAGAGCCGCGAATTCGTGGTTCAAGATTAATTTGATAGACATAGGCTGGCCGCACCAATGCCACATCAATGTATTTTGAACATATTTATTATATAAATGCGGAAGCTCAATAATATAATATTATTTCTTTAATTGGTTCACAAACAGCAAAAAAATATTTTTTTCTACCCGCAAAAATATGTAAACACACAGGCTGGAACATGCTCACGCACTCGACCACGTTAATTGTCCTGACGCGGGAGATCTTTATCTATGCGTGGGGCCGCTGGCGGCCCGGCTTTGTCACAGAATATCGTCGACAGCAAGTATACGTACTTACGCATCTGTATTAGGTGATCTGTGCCAATGAGGCGTATGTGACCATGGGCTTTATTATGGTTTGGTAGATCCAGAATACCATCTTTGGCTTTAGTCCCCATGTTTTGCCAACAAGTCTTCGGCATGACCAAATGGCTGATGTAGCTCGAGAGCATGTTTTCTCTAACTGTTTGTTCCAAGTGAGGGTTTGGTCCAGGGTGACCCCTAAGTACTTCACTTCGTTGGAAAATGTTAGTTGTGTACCGTTAAGGGTCGGGGCTTTCAAATTTAGCTTCCTTCTTCTTGTGAACGGGACAAGGATTGTTTTGTTTGCGTTTAGGGATAGTCCTACGCCTTCGCTCCAATTTTTAACGATGTTTAGGGCACTTTGCATTCGGCTTGTCACTATACCTTCATGTTTGCCCTTGATTACAATGGCTAGGTCATCTGCGTAACCTATGACCTGGTATCCAGCACTACTCAGTCTGGTAAGAATTTTGTCTACCACCAGTGTCCATAGTAGCGGAGAAAGAACACCTTGAGGACACCCTCTGACCGTGGTAGCGGTAGCTGATGCTCCGTTTATTTCAGCCGTAACGTGACGGTGCTTCAGCATCGACTCTATCCATTTTACAATTGGAACTTCAACATCCCATTCTTGTAATGCTCTGGCGAATGATTGATGTGAGGTGCTGTCAAAGGCACCCTCTATGTCGAAAGCTGTGAGAGCGGTCTCTTTGCACTCGATTGTCTTTTCAATGTCTTTTACCAGGCAGTGTAAAGCACTTATTGTGGATTTGCCTGGCTGATAGGCAAATTGCTTCGAGTAGAGCGGTCTTCTCAATAGAGTTTCGCTTCTGATGTACTGGTCGATTGCTTTCTCCATTGTCTTAAGGAGAAAGTATATAGTTATTAGTAATATAGTTATTTTCCTAACAAGTGCGCAAAGTGATACTTTCCCGCACGAAAAAGCAGTTAGACGAACGACGCGAAGCGGAGTTCGGATAAGCTTTAAGTGCGGGAAAGGCACTTTGCGCAAGTGTTAGGAACAATATTTTTTCTACGAGTATCTTAAAAAAGTAGACTTTAAATTGTTAAAATATTAGAAAAATCAATCAAATCAAAATCTTCAAAAATCGTTTAAAATCTATTGGAATTTCTCAGAATGTCTTTTAAATTAAATCCCCAAAAATCTTTTAACATCTTCTGGAATTTCTAGAATACCAGCTAGAATATTTTCATGAGAGTCTCTTAGATATCAAAAATTCTACAAATTCCTAACAGTACAGGCTGGTCCAATTTGGACACCTTTGATAGGAAACATCATGTTAACTAAGCGCTAATTTCAACTAAAACCCTTCATTTTGAGTATTAGTTTATTCAGAAACCATCAAAACATTGGAAAGTCAAGTATAACTATGGTAATTATGCGTAACAAAAATGAGTGCGCAAAGAGTTTCCGTGCGCAAAGTTTAACTTTGCGCACGCAAATGAGTGCGCAAAGTGATTACTTTGCGCACGCAAGTAGAAAAAAAAATTTTCGTTACTTATGGTAACGTCTAATTATATAAAGGGTATATAAGAGGAATGAATAGTGCTTTTAGTATATAAGGGTTTTATAATATCCCCCAACCTCTAGGTATATAACTAGGTGACATAAATATTTCAATTACCAAGTTATAAAACCTAGAAAAACTATTACTAATAGGTATATAATAAAGTTTTATACATTTTGCGGTTACCTTTTTATACAAATTTACATTCCCTATAAAATGGTGATAATTTTTGCCTTTATAAAAATAGAAGTAATCGACGAGTCTTTCATAAATGTTTGTTGCTTCTGGATATGTAAGGATGCTTTATATAATTCACAGGGGGTATAATAATAAACAAATTGGGTGAGTGAAATGAATACCAGCGGCCAGCAGCATTACCAAACATCACATCAAGCCAAACAGAAACAATAAACCTGTGCAGTCAACTGAAAAAAGTGAGGTTATTGTTGTCATTTTATGCTGATGCCGATGCCCCACTGCGGGTATTTTGCGTAATCGTTCAACCCTTATTTACGAATTATAATTGGTCATAACTCAGAAATGTGGATAAAGCTGTCACGTACCACTTTAAGACCAATTATGTCGGGTGACGCGATTACGAAATACGTCATGGGAAACTGGGAAACCTGCATGAGCGGCGTGTATTGATGGTTGCTAACTTATAAGTTATAGTACCTGGAGTAATTTTTGTTACCATTATAAACTTTAAAGTTTTATAAGAACCTTTTATAAAATCAAAAGAAGCTATATAGGGTACCATAATTTATGTAAAGTTATTAAAGAAATTAATTTTTCAAATTAAACTAGTCTTCATTCTGCCATATTTGATTTGCAAAAAAAATGGACGCTGTTTCACAGGTCAACGTAAAATTCAAAAATTTAGGGCATTTAGCTAACAATTTGTGATAAATATGCATAAGAACCTAATATAATTAAATAAGCAACTTTTTTCTCAAGAACTTGTCACTTAAATATTATTATTTTTTCAAAATTTTATTTTTATATTTATGGCAATATAATCAAATATGGTTCTTTCAAAAGGCGCTCGCATTTTTTGAAGGTACAACATGTATATTTATCAGTAAAAATCGTTTGGCAATGAAAATTCGGACCAGGATCAATGGTTTAACAACACTATTTTTATGTGAATGTGAAACAAGTACTCATCTAGCAGAAGCCATTGGTGCAACATAGGACTTCTTGTCCTTGTGCATTTATTTATTCCTTCATGAGACCGAGGCGCTGGAGGCATCATCATCAAACAAACATAGACATACCAAAAATAATTAAATAGACAAAGACAAAAAGAAACTTGTTACTCCAGGTGTCAACATCATTTAATTTATA